ATTTTGATTGAGGGTTGACACCGTCTAGAATTCTTCCATGTCTTCAAGACACTCCTCTCTAAACAATCCATGGGATATTTTTGTAAGAAATGCACTTCTGTCGTTGACTACTACTGTTTGAAAATGCATTCAAGCATCAATTTTTTAGAGATTTTTACTACTGTGTAAGTTTGCTTAGCACACTCACTTAACACTCGCACTAAAGGGCATGAAGTGACTCCTTTTTTACGAATTTTTTAGTGTCATCGTGATAAATTGCAAGTCTCGGGGTGTTGCTTTTTAAATGTAGATATCACTGAATGTCTAATACTCGGTTAATGAAAAAATTTGTCAATTATACCTTTGTCCTTTACTTTGTTGCCTGATTGACGTGATTAGGATGTTAATGAATTAATGCTTACGTGAATGTTAGAAGCGTGAAATTGCTGCTGCACTCTGTCTCATCTAGGTATCATATCCATTTTGAGTCACCGTCTAGACTTATTCTCACGAATTTATTGTGTGATTTCCGGTAGTAGAAATGATGTTTGACTTTATAAAAAGGACTTTCATAGTTTTTAACACCTCGCATCTCTTTTGATACGTTATCTTCATAAATCACTACAAAATTATGCGCGCTGGAGGATAAGCGTCATTCCTCAACTGAGATGATGGACGTAATCATTTTCATGTTCTTTTTCGACATCAGCGACGTTTTACACTCTCACTTTTGGTCAGTGTCATTATTTAAATTAAAGGTTCGGCATGAATTAGAATCTAACGAAATGAGGGTCCATTATAAGGACTTTGTACAGGTTCTACACGTGCCAGACCAACCCACGTAGTGTATATTTATCCAATATATCTGATCATTCGTCGGCCCACTATCTGCGATTGTTTTTTGACCTGATGCTTACCGAGCGCTTGCAGAGGAACTGTGTAGGGTAAGCATGATAAAATTAATTATTAATGCCACAACATACCCACAGTGAGTTAGGGGCTATTCACGAATATTGCGAAGTCTATCTTAATTTAGAGTGAATTGTAAAACTACAAGTGTGATGCCTAAGACGATCAAAATTAAATACCGGATTTTTTATTAATTCTGTAAAAATGGCAAAATAAATTTGGAATATAGGTAAGTAAATGCACTGGCAGCCACTGAGCTGTGGAATTAGAAAAGAGGTTAGTCTTTTCCCTGGCATGAGCCAATTACGACAAGCAATTTAGCAAATGGGACACTTGGGAGCTTTCACGAATTGAAGTGCGGGCTGGTGGATTCGAGGTCATTCAATGTGGACTCATACACCTTTTCTTTGCTATTTCCCGTGACTTTTACCTTTCAAATGTCCTTTAGACGACTCTTTCATCAACTTTAGCTATTGATTTACTGGATATCAAGGTGCTTCATTAGTACTTGGCAATATAATGTGTTGCCAAAGTGTACAGAACTTTTCAGTGCACTTTCATTTTGCTTTGAACTTCCTATTGCTATTTTTCTTAAAGTGCTGCAGCACAAATAAAATAAAATAGGGTTTTCGTGTGGGACTGCAAATCTGGTGTAGTGACAAATCAAACATCGATGTTATTTTGCAAAGTAAGGAACTTGCTTCAACTCCCGAAAATACTTATTAAATCACTTTTGACATGACATTATTTTTAAAGCGAAATTTTCGTTGTGAGGGGTCTGTAAAATTAGCAGTCAGAGCAGTTCGAGCGCCCATAAGCTAAAATTGAATGGAATCACCATGATATCAGCTATCCCCAGGCAAAGTGTGGACGCAGACCGATTGCAAAGCTCATCACACCTTTGTCAACGCTTTTCAATTGAAAGCTTCGGTGTTGTTTGTTTCTGTGGCAGAGATTTATATTTGGCCTGTTGAAGGGCCTGAATTCCGTCAATAATGTTTTAATAAGGTTTTAAAAATGACGCTACAGCACAACTTGTTCCAAGCAATGATAGTGCTTGTATCAACGATGATTTTTAATTAAGTGGAACTGGCCCAGGTCGCTTCTAGACAGTATGTGAATCATGATTTGTGTGAGTTTTAACATTGAAATAGCAGGAAACAGTGTTCTAAACTGTTAACGTGGCCTTGCGGGGATGCACATGTGCTGGTCCCCTCAGCAAAGTTACTAAGGCTTACGACAAAATAGTTGAATTAAATGTACGTGTCACTTTCTTAAAAAGGCTTAATCAAGATTCAAACTCTATTAATCTAACTGTTAGGAAATGCCTTTACGGGAATATGTGCTTTGTGTGCATCCTCAGTCTAACAATATTAATATTTCCTCGAGAGCAGACCTGGCCGGTAACCCCACACTTGCTTTAATGCTCAGTAGTGCTGGCAGAGACATTAACCAAAATACCTGATTTTTCGGTGGAGCGAAACGTTGATTCAGAACAAAATCATCAAAACCAGCCATAAAAGCTGAAGGGTAAGTAGAGCATTTTCCGTGTTATTCCTATCCACACGATGTTTTTCGCTTCTGGTTCTCTTTGAGCGTCGCCTACGCGAAGAGCAGCGCGCTGCAAAATTTCAGCCCATGATGTGACTTTGGGACCTATTTGTTCCTACATACGCAAGGTTAATTTATTTTTACTGTGTCTTGGCAGTACGTACACACTTTCATCTTACCGACCTTGGTATGTTTAACCCATCGATGTAACCAAAACTTGGTGAACAAGTCTTTTACGCATTAATGTTAGAAATAACACGAAACTGTATTAAAATAAACAAAGTGGGTTAACTGTGAAAAATTAATTAATGTGAATTTCTAACACTTCTTAAGATATTTTATTCCTGCAATAATTCACATAGGGTTTAGCGAATAGCTTGATTAAAATGGGGTCCACTAAAAACCAGAATATTCCTAAGAAGCCCTATTACCTCCGCAAGTTTCAATTAAAAAACCTTTCATTACTTTGACTGTCTAAATCCATTTTCAATTACTAGAGTCTTTCATCACAACAATGTTGGAAAAAACCGAATTTTCTTCTCAAAGCTGGGATTAAGAATGCAAATTAGATTCTCTCGAACCGAGTGTAAATGAGATTTACTCGATTACAGAAACCTTCCCATCTTGGCTGAAGGGACTTGTTTCTATGACCTTCGCTAAATGCTTTTAGGAAGGCTTAAACAGCTTATTGCATCACTGGTTCCCATTCGAGGTACCAGTAAATTGAATGCGCGAGGCTACAAACTCACCGACGGCGAACTTAGATGCATCCAAAAAACACTTGCTTCTATGAGACAAAAGCTCTGAGTTCGATTTCTTGGCATTGACGGGAAGGTATTCATTAAGTGGGGCGTTATTTATAAATAGAAATAGCTAAACTCAGGTTATTTCTAAATGTATTTGTCAGTTTTTGTGATAAAGCCATTTTCAAGGACTACTTTTCCAGACTGAAGTTCAAGAAAATTAGGGAAAACGTCACCATGGTCACTAATGGTCCTCAGAATTTAGTGTCCTGAAACGCGAATTTGTGCCTTCTGCCCTTTAATGGCTTGTGAAAAAAATAGTGGCTTACATGTGTAATCGCGTTATCAAACTGATCCAAGCCAGTACACTGGAATGCAAATTTAAAAGTGCAGTCACGTTTCGATGATCAATTTTTTCGCCATCTTAGGGAAACGCAGGATTGATAAACTGGGGAAAGTTTTCTGTTAAATGCTCATGCCTGAAATGAGGTCTTTATTTTTCATCCATCTTGAAAATTTATATTTCGAAGGCGTTCTTCTATTTGATCAATTCATTTTGCTGTTTAAATTTAGATTCCTAATTATTGATAGAAGTTTTCACGTTTACTTTGATGCTTCCACCTTTTTTGCGACTTTACTACTTTGCTTCAATTATCGTCAGTTACTTTTTGGAACATGCCTAATCATCAGCAAAAGCTTCGTCTAAACCAGAAAGAATCATCCCAGAGCGAAGATGCATTAATTCAGAATAAAAGTTATAATGTTGGTTGTTGGGTAGTTAAAAGTCCACACTCGTATAAAGTTCGTTAGTGAAAACCTAAGCGGTGCTGGGAGGTGTCTTTCTTAACTCGGACCTTGTTCAAGCTTAACTGAGGCAGCACCTCCGAGCAGCGTTTTTTCTTCGTCTTGACTCCGCGGTAGACACCGGAGTGGCAACCATGCAACAAAGACCTGTCGGTAATTTCAAATAATAGCTTGGTTGCACAAAATTGCTTGATAGCAGATGGGTTTAACCTAGAAAATCATTTATTGTAAGAGCAAACTTTATTATGTAAATCTACGATGATTTTCCACAAGGTACATAAGGCAGTACTCGATACATGCCTTCACAGATATCCACACTTCTATGCACGTAAATTTAAGGGAAAGAGCGAAGAACAGATCTCTCTTGTTTGTGCGTAACCACCTTTAAATAGAGGTAACTTGTTGATAAAGTTTACTTCGCTTTATTTGAAACTGGAAGGGATTGTTTAACGCTCTGGAAGGACTGCAGACACCGACCTCAGATGTTGGCACAAAATTATCGACTTCAGAATAACTGTTCGTACGCAGTTTGCTGGAACATCGACAGACAGCGACAGGAATAATCTCATTGTGAAGCATTTCAGACTCTGAGTTTGTAGTATCATCATATACTCTAGCGGTCATGGGTTGTGGATTTTTTTTAGTACTTATGCGCCGTGGGATCTGCTTGTGGACAGAAGTGATGCTACGTTGTCTGATGCAAGGTGAGCGTGGCAAACGACGTGGGGAAACGCTATAGTAGAGTTTGTTAGATTGTTTCTCCCCGATATGAGGGCAGGAAGAATAACTTGAGGAGGCCGAAGATGTCATTGATTCCTCGATATTAGTTGAAGGAGTTTCAGAGGTGGGTATCTGGTGTGGACTGGGAGATCTATCACTGGGTGACCTCCCAAAATGCCGTGTTTGACCATGTTGTTTCAGCAACAGTTCGCACTCCCGACAAGAAAACAATGTTTGCTTAGAACAACGGCCAGATTTGGTAAACTGCACAAAGTCGGGAAGTTCAATTTCTGCACGGATATTGCCAGCACTCCTAGCATTTCTTTGTCTTAGCCTCCCGACGGAGCGCATGTTGGTTGTCGATCCCGAACTGTGTCCGGCCATTCGCCGTCGTTTCATTGGAGCTCTACAGACCACTTCGTCTAAGTTGTTGCCTTTCACGTATTCCATGGGGTCAAGCGACTCAAGACTGTGTGTAGCGCATGTGGATATGAATGGGCTGGTGTTTAAAGACTTAGTGTAGGACATCACTTTCACGTGGAAAGGGTTACCAACATGATTCGACAAGGGAAAATGTCCGTTATTGGACAGTGGAGGTCTTTTGATGATTGGCAACAAGTAATTATCCCCGGCTTTAACTTTATCTAGACAGTTCTCGGTGAGAGCGATTTGAGCAACTGGCTTCTTTTTTGTGGAAATGCCAGAGGGGGAAACGATGTCGGTGGAAACGCTGTCGGCCAGATTGTAACGAAGGGAGGTTGACTTGTTGTGCAGGTTTTGTCGGTGTCGCATTTCCGCCAGGAAAAGGTAAATAGAAAAGACACCAGTGAACTCGCTGAGGATGAAGGCGCCTACACAGAGACGAAATGCCGCACCGAAGGAGTACACGTAGCGCGTTTCCACCCGCAGGGGACCCGAAACTGAATCAAAGGCCAAACTCACGCTGCCCACATACAAGACTATGGTGATGAGTGTTAAAATCCCTACAACGGAAACGGAAAACAAGAATTTTAACCGATGCGACGTGTGAAAGTTTAGTTGCGGCTGCTGACCTTGGCCCAAAGTTAACGTTCAGATAGGCCAAGTGTCAAAGGAAGTCCAATATAATGGCGTAAGGCTATTCTGTCAGGTGAAATTCAACCAAGTCGATGCATAGAATGCAGACTAATGTTATGGTCTTCAACAAATTTTCAACTTTCGAGACTGCACACATGCACGACTGAGCGAAGTATCAAATGAAACAGGAAAACAGCGAAAAACGCCAAATGCTGGCCAGCAAACATAGGGGAGTCCTGGTGTACTTGTGGGTTACCCAGATACTCAAACCTCATCTGCTGCAACAGGTGACGTCCGCCACTCACCCGTTTCGCCAATTCAGGTAGAGAGAAGTCAGAAATAAGTATTTTACAAAAAAAGTCAGCTGATGAACAAAAGCTTGACATGGAAAACGTCATCAAATAATTTAGAGTATGATCCAAATTAACTTCACTGGATTGATGAATTACTACTGCGTCAAACCTAATTGAATTTAGCTTGGTTACTTTAAAAATACTAAGTGAAATTGCACCAGTGCGAGCAAGGATTTGTGAGGCCGGCCCGCACTCTTCCGTGAACTGTGCATCAGGAAAGTTAGCAGACGTTTGTCATTAGTTACTTGCGAACTGCTCTTAATTTCTTTCTTATTTCTGTTTGAGATTTCAAGTATGAAACTCTGTCCCCTAATTTCCTATTATTTTGACTGTCAGGCACACATAACATTTGCTTTGAACATGACATATGCTGACGGACAATAGGAACAATCCTCGTTACCGAAAGACCCGATTGTCAGCCTCGTCACATCGTCTGTTCAAAATCCCATCATTGTTCTCGGGTTCTGTAGTTGTTGACGAACAATGAGATTGGAATCAGCCATGCTAATTACCACAATTATTATTTTCATCTTTTCTCAACAGGAGCTTGTGGTATTCTAGAGGCAAGTGTTTCATCAGCATCTAATGGCTCCAAGTGAATCAGTGGCCACCCCGTTACTCGCTTTATTTTTTCTTCGAACCGTCATTTTTGATGACTCAATTATTTTACAGGGTTACTAATGCCCCCTTTTTCAGGCTGGGCTGCATTTCCTCCTTTCTCCAAAAACACCGGTTCCAAAAAGTAAAATGCGTAGCCTGCGTTGCACCAGAAGCGTCTAGAAGTTGGTAATATTAACTCCAGGAGGCTGAAAATTCCAAAGTGAAAATTTGCATAGCATGAAATCCTTTCCTACTTAGTTTATTCTTGCCACTTAACACAACAAGCATGCTGTGGTTGCAGACTCACACAGGCTTACGCCAGGAGGTGATTTGTTTTGAATGAATTTGAAAGCTTTTTTTAATACTAAACATGAATCGTATAATGGATTCCTAATCAATGCTTCCGCGACTAGATGTAAAGAAAACCCCACACATGGATTTTCAAGTACAGATCAGTCTCAATCTTATTTTTTACTTTCCTAAATTGCTTCTGTAACATTTGATCATTAAATGTTTAAAAAATAAAGCTGTTAGAAACGTAGCCGGAATTGCGTAAAATCAGCAGTATCGCTTAAGACAACCTTAGAAATACTGACCACAAATTTGAAAGCAAGGGGAATCATCTCCATAAAAAAGCTCAAAGGAAAACACGCATGCCGGACTTTTCTTGGACTATGATGTGCGTGTGAACAGCACGGGCGGAAACTGGAGCTCGGGTTGAGGGACGTTTCGTTACAAGCAGAGCCGCCGATTGTATCCCCGCCAAATCATTCACCCGCTAACTTACCGCTCACTATGCAGGAGCCGCCGGCGACGAAGACGAGGAGCCAGCGTCGGCGCCCCCTCGAGCAGGCCGCAGAGCCGAGCCCGCCGCCGCCGCCAACGAGGAGCACCAGGAGGCCCAGGGGTAGGAAGACGGCAGCCGGTCGCATGGAATCTGCCGGGACACAAAAAATGCATGCCTCTTTAGTCTCTTCTTCTACCCATCCATCTCCTCCTTTTTAATCTCAAATAACTGCTTGTCCTTGACGACTGCAATATTTGGACTTTAGCAGTTGTTTGCCCTCTAGTTCTGTTTTGCATTTTGAAGGTTAGTTTCTTTTGGATTTCTAAGACGGAATCTGCGACCGTGTGCAAATGATTCCCTTATAAAACCTTAAAAGTTTTATTCGATCCACTGGTCAAAACAAGATCTCCAACATTTCGAACATTTCTCATTATTCTTATTCAACGAAAGTAAAATCTCCTCGTTCATTTGAGCAAAAAATACCGGATTTGAAAATCTCATATCATCATCTCCACGAAGACTGCAGCAAATTACCAAACGGTTTCGATTCGTCCAAACGGGAAGGCATTTTAAGCACGATTAAATAGTTCGTCTTGGTGTTTGCTCTCTAGAATACACACAAACTCATCGCAACGCAAAATGTCAACTCAGTGTGGAGTTGAGTTTGGCTTTGTATTTTCCCACTTTCACCACGGCAAAATTCCCCTCGACTTGCAACCCTGATTTCGTGCGTTTTTCAGTTTGGCGGCTGGTTCGTTGATCACGCGTTACTAATGTAGTGGGACAAGTTTTTTGCGGTTTTTACACAAATTGCTGTCCATTAGGTATATGAATCAAGTTTCAATTTTAATCAGGTTAGTGATCAATTGTAAGCATTTCAAAGTTTATCTGTCAAGCCATCCCAAAGCGTCAACAGCTCGCTAACAATAAAAAACGATTGGGGCTGGGGATCATGCGTTCAGCAAAACCCACCGATTCTGCTTCTTCCTATTTTGAAGTGAATCGGAATATTATTCAATTGCGTACGTTCAACACATATGAATGAAAAATTAATTCATAGAAAGTACCTTAGATAAATGACAATTCAAGCGAACACGTCTAGTGTAGCATATCTGCCACTGAGCTAGTGAGTTTTGTCACCACGTCCGTCGCCTATCTTGATATGCTGCTTAAGTTAATGTTGCTTCGCTAGAAGACAATTACATATCGATAAATACAAGACAAAGTAAAGCGAGGATCGTGATTTAATTACGAATCAAAACTCCGGAAATCCTCGTATGCACTTAGTTTGATTCCTGCAATGTTCATTAGAGTACAATGAATATCATTTGTACAACTTATGCAAATACCATCATTTACAGTAAAATCTGTGGCTACCATGCCAGACACGTGATAGTACACAGCATCAGTAATTAGCTAATGGTTAAAAAATTTTTTTACGGTGCTAATTTCCCGTGTAAACAAAATTATTGACTAAGTCATTTCTTGTACGTATTATTTGGAAGTGCGGTGGAATTCAGCACGCGCCGGTTCATCGCATTACCCACGGTCCTAAGATGACAATTACTACTTTCCTCATGACTAGCTGGCAGCAGTTAAGGTAATGGCACTTGGGTAGGAAATTAAGGAATGAGTCAGGTTCCTTGGAGCCTAAATTACTTAACAAAAGGCAAATAGTTTTTTGCCTGATAACTTGATACCTTAATCAGATTTAGATGGTCTTTTAGAGATCCTGTAAATTTTGGTGTTTTTATTGGAGCTGAAATAATTTACACAAGGGTGAAGTGGTGATGACATGTATGGAAAACCTAGTAAAGAGGGTTTTCATAAAGAAATAAATATTGCTTAATAAATTAATCGCGTCCAAGAAAGGTGAATTCAAATTAGCTGAACAATATTGGCCATTGGCCAACACTTACAACAGGGGAGTCAGATGCCAAGCTACCAGTCCTTCCTAATAAAATTCGGAAGGTGCTTACGCTCAAAAAGTAAGACATTTGTGTGATTTTTCAGAGAATTTCTATTACCAAGTTCTTAAAGGAGAGCTTCAAGGTTCCTACACCTAATGAAATATCTCAGGCGTGAGTCAAACAAAGCGGACTCGGGTTAATGTGTAAGGGGATTTATTTAGCACAATTCCAAATGACTCTCGACCCATAAGAAGCAGTGAAGGAACTGAAACAATTTTCTATAATTATTCTGCTCATGCTCATTTAAAGAGGGACCATTTTACGGAGAAAAAATTTTGCGTAAAAATTATAAATTGATGAAATCAGCGTTCAGCTTTAAGAGTTCAACTAGATATTCATCCTCCTCAGAGGATTAGCTTACAACTCTGATTTTATGTGAAGTTTTATGTAATAATTCTACGTAAATGAGATTAAAATGTGGGCAACGTTAAAACATTCGATGGCAGGCAAAGTCCTTATAACTTCAGTGTTCTTGATGCGCAAATAAACTATAATTTTTGCGATGAGTTCATGTTGGCCACAATCCAGTCGAACTGTCACTAGCACTTGATCGCTGCTAAAATTGGAAAGAATGCTCTCGATCTTCAGATGCTCGGCAGGCAGGAGAACTGGTGGATAGGCCATTTGCTACGTTGTAATTGCATTTACTTTATCGTTACCAGAACACAGCAAGCTTTTCTTTTCAAATTAACCCTTGATCAAAAGAAACGAAATGCGACGCGATCGTTTCCAACGGCAACTTTGTTGTGTCAAATTAACGCTCCAAAGAAATCCAATATTAACATTGGATTTATGTAAAAGCACCATCATGTCGTGACGACCGCTACGTCTCTTAAAGGAAACGTCTTTGTGACGGGGCTCAATCATGACAACTACAGACCTCTGGCGTAATTATCCAACAGGGTTTAGTGCCAAGGATCTGTGAAGACACGCTGTTGACATATTCTGGTAGGCTGAGTTACCACAATCCATTTTATGCTAAAAAAATCGTAGATCATGGTCTATTAAAGACATGTTTATACCCAAGCGATCAAATGTATTGTGGAACTGTGTGGACCTTCTGTGGCATCGCACGCATTGACAAATTGGTTTAAATCATAAAGCAGTTTTATAGGCTTGTCAATAGTATGTTTGTGCGGTGTTCTAGTCAGTTTATGTGTGAGCAGAATTAATTTTTGCTGGCAAGGTGGGAGCACAAACGACGGATCGAAGATTCTGTGTTGAGCGCCTTTCTTTTGTAGGGGCAGAAGTCTCAACACAAAACTCATATAGGGTGCTCATAATAAGTGAAAAGAAATCGTGTGTTGTGGAAGTTCTCAGTGTTGAAATGTCTGCTCATTCTTGAGCAATAACCACTGAGTTATTTTCTAAGCAAGTTCTAAAACCTAAGCAGGTATTTGCAACAATCCCAGTTTCTTGTTCACCGAAACAAACGAATCAAAGCAACTTAAAAAAAGGCGCTAAACGTTATACCACTTGGACCTGCGCAGAACAGATAATGCAATTGCAAGGGACTTTGCTAGCCGAAAGAACTGGATGTGAAATACCAATCGGCAACATTGAGATGATGAAGTTAGCTGGAAAAAAACAATAACCTATTGGGTTGTGCGCTCCAATCCTGGTGTGGATGTAACTTCAACCAAAACATAAAGCAAATAATTCAAGTGGCCAATTATGCTTGATGTGATGTTCATACTGGCACGATTTTCTATGTCGCATGTCCTTCTATGTACATATTCGCAGTCTGTAAAGCCAATGATAGTTTGGAGCATGAAAATGCGGAGTGATCCTTGGGCATATCCACTCACAACGCCACACCAAATGCATGAGGCTTTAACCAACTTTTATTTTTACAGGTAAATTATGTGAAATCAAACGGTGGTTACATGAATCGCAAGCACGATTGTTTCACGCGATAAACTGTCAATGTGGTAACGAGACTGCTGGGATATGTTGTCAGTAATTCATTGTATTCCGTGCCTAGTGTACAGAAAGATGCAAGTCACCATGACGAAAAGAACGCGGAAGTGGCAAATTTTGTCTGGACAGATGACTTTCTAGACCCTTCCAGTTTTTGCCAGCTAAGTTTGTGTCTACTTATTATCGAAGATTTGTGTACACAGCAATATTTTACTTTAAGCTAATAAAATCCATTTTGAAGTTTTTTTGTAGATGTAAAACATCACTTATTTGTGCAGAGGATAAATGCAAAGTGCTGGGCACATATTTGCGCAGTGCGATCCTCTTGTATGTGTAGAAACGTTCAAGCACTTTGTCAATTTAAACCTTTTAACACGAGCACGGCTATAACAAGGAGTTTTTGATTGTAACTATTTGTCAAACTTGTCCAGTACAGCGCTTCTTATTATCGCTTGAATGTAATAGCTTGGTGAATAAAATGCCCCACACATTGTCTGTGGAAGGAAGTACTGCCATAGATGGTCCACTTATTCCCACATCCCAACGATCTGCTCAATTTTCTCTCTTTTAAGTAAGATCTTTGTTCACCAAAGCAGCAGTCACGGACATCGACGTTGCTTGTTTTCAGAAATGCAGCGGCTTCTTTTGATGGTTGACTATGCCGTCTGTTTCTTTTTCCTTGTGTTTGCTGGTTTCTCAACTACCTGCTATATTCTCTTGACTTTGCTTTGAAAATCATGCTTTTGTAATATCGTGTAATTTGTAAAAGCTGTTTTAGGACGTTGGCTACAGGCCTTTAACAACATCAGAATGCAGCATGAATCCTATTTATTTGTTGCAAGATGCTTTGCACATTGATGTTTCAAGCAACAATTAAGTTACTAATTTTGAATTCCTACATATTCGGTGGCACTTCCACATTTTTCTTTACTCTACAGAGCTCTCACCTTAGCCATAGAAAGTGCATTTCGAAAGGTTAGCTGATTTGCTAAAGCAACTAGCATTTCTGGCCTTCGAAAAAAAGGCCTTCATTATTTCATCAAGAAAAAGCATCCATAATCAACGTGGCATCATTCCACATTGTGACGATGAAAAGTTACTCCTGGAAGTCACAAAGAAGAATGCTACAGTTTTCTTTATTTTGCATTGTTATTACTGTGTCTTTGGCTTGCATGTTGTTGGAACTGGCTAGTTAACATTACTTCATTATTATCTTCTGCACCTACGTTTTCGAGACTTGGATATTCCTTATTCTTCATGTTGCATCTCATTGAGCAAGGTTCACAAAGACGAAACACATTTCCTACTGCCTTGACCAAAGCCCCAAGAAATAGCCATGGGCGTCCACATTACTTTTGCTTACACAACCGTGGGATGTGCATGTTGAACTGAGATATTTCAAAATGATTTTATGGTACAACATAACGTTTTGGTCAATTCTGCATTCATAAAAGAATGGGTGTGAAAACAGGTATATTAACTACCTACGGGATGAGCCAATCAGCAATCGAGATTGAACGCATTTGCAGCAAAACAAACGCTTTGCTGCAACACAGCCCGATTCGTTGAATGCTGCACTTGGCAGAGTACTTCCTTTGAAAATATTTTTTCTTGATAGTGGTAGAATCGATTTTAATTATATGTTTATATACTGATAACAGTCCCATTTATCAATCAT